AAAAAAAAAAAAAAAAAAGGGGGGGGGGGGGGAGGGAGTAAAACAGCATTATAAGTGAAACAAAGCATTTTGTTTTGAGTAGACCCAAAATAATTTCGAGTTTTCATTCCCCAGATCTTTTGATTTTGCCATAGAATAAACCAATTCATTCTTCACCCGGTTCTAGTCCCTAACCCAGTGGTGCCCAACCTTTTGGCCTCATGGGCCAGATGTGGGAGGCAGGGTCAATCCATGAGCCCAACCTGGTATGGGCGACCGTCCTGCCAGGGCCCACACTGATGCGTGAGGCCCAGCCCTGTGTGTGGAATTGGACCCCAGCTCTGAGCACTGGATAGGGCCCACCGCCCCATTGCAAGACAGAGGGCCACCTCATCTGGCCCACAGGCTTGGAAATTTGGCTGTGGGGAAGTGGTGGCAGCTTTCATTACCACTGCTTTTCTGCCACCACATTTCCAGACCTCTGGGGAGCCCCGAAGGACAGGTGACGTGGCTCTGCAGGCTGGATCTGGCCTGAGGAGGCTAAGCACCACTGCTTAACCACGACTGAGCCAGTCTGCATTAACTGAGTTGACTTCAACAGGCGCAGCGATCTGTGGGCCGCTGTGTCTGTCCGAGAGAGATTTGTGAATACAGTCCGCTGATTAATCCTAACCTTATCTTTTCCAGATAACTATTTTGAAAATATGAATATTTTGTTGACAGTTAACTATAATAGCAGGAAACGCTAAATAGTGAAGTAGCTGTATCTGTCAGTTGGCTTTTGTGAATAGCTTGTTCTTAGCCCTTTGAGCATTGGAATAATTGTTACAACTCCGCAAACATATCACACCCTTGTGGACAAAGCATGTCGTCAGGATGTATGGCAGCAGGTTGTAACAGAACAGTACTGTGATAAGAGTTCAAAGCATCTGTGTTGTGTGTGGGCAAACTATTTTAACTGTTTTGTTTTTTTTTTTATACTGGAGCACATTTTTTTTTAAACTGTGACCATGGATATAGATTTTAAACCCTATTTACTCTTCTACTCATTTTGCTATAGTATATTCCGTCTGTTGTGTTCACAGAATCACCTACGTTTAAAAAAAAAAAAATCTTGTTTTTTAAATATATACATTTGCTTCTATGCGTTTTCTTACCTGCTACACTACTCTTATACTGAATTTATAGCAGTCACATAGGTCACTGCTGGTGGCGATTATTATTTTAGATCTGTTTGAAAACAACATTTAGCACACAATATGAGAGCACGTACTATAAAGGGTTAAATCTATTTTTCATCCAGGCTTATCATATTATAAAGTGATCCCTAAAAATACATGAATAGGCTCAATGAATCATAAAAATGATTTTAACGCTGCCATGTGACATAGATGTATTATATAAGGAGGGAACATTTATTATCCTGTATGTACTGAGACCTATTGTAGATACTGCAATATTTTTTCCAGTGAATAACCAGTGTCTCATTGCTTTAACTTTGCATTTTGAACATTACCTGTAATAAAGAATTATATCTTGGTTATGCCACATGAGGTTAAGAGTTAGAACACTGTATTAGTAATTCTGTTAGGAAAAACACAAACAAACCATAAATGTTGCTCGTTTCGATCTAAGTCTGTTCATCTTGTTTGACTCAATGTATTTTTCAGTTTTACTGAATGCAGCAAATGTACCGAATAAGAAAGGCTCAAATTAATCTTTTTTTTTTTAAACCTTCCTCTTATCCTCAGCCTTTTAAAGTATGAAGATCATGAAACTTATTTATAGGCTTGTATATAGCAGCTTTTGCAATATTTCCTTAAGATGGCATTATTTTGTCAATGGTATGAAATCTTAATTGAATGAGATGCGAGTTTGAAAATAGATTATGTA